AGTGTCGTGTGAAGCATGTAGACTGCGACTCAAATAATGAGAATGTGGTTAGAACAGGAAAGGGGCGCATCCCTAGAATAACAATTCTAAGCTCGTTTTTTTTTGCCAAACTAGTTGATAGCAATATGAAGTTCCACTACGATAAGGTTCGCAAATGGTTCACAGAGGTTGTGATTAGCGACATGGATTTGATTATTGCGCCTTTCCATGTCTTGCACAACCAACATTGGACACTCGTAGTGGCAGACTTGAGACGCAGGAAATTCGAGTACTACGACTCGCTGACACCAGACAAAGAACTCGCGATGAAGGTGATAGGGGGGTTCGCAAAATTTTTGTACATGAGATCGATCAAACAAGGTCAAGAGATCGACACCAAACAGTTCAACCATATATGGACAGTGGAAGGCATTCCAAAGCAACACGACTTCAACGATTGCGGTGTGTTTATGCTCACATATGCATCACTGTTGGCGAGAGGGTTCCTGCCACCATTCAACTTCACATCAGATGACAATAAGAAACTACGATACCGGATAGCTTTCGACGTAGCAGTTGTGGAGTAGACGATTATGAGGCTGTAACATTAGTCGTCCACGCACATGAGAGAAAATGCAGTGATCACAAGTACAGGTGATAACAGGAGAAGACGAACTTGCTAGAGTAAACGGGATAATTGATGCAATTACACAAAAGGTGTAAATGGTTGTACAAGACAGTCACCCTTACACCTAACCACTTATCACCTTACCCCTTATCCCACACACCTTACAGGCTTACCCCTTACCCCTTACCCCTTACCCCCTTACCCCTTACCCCTTATCCCCTACCCCTTACCCCCTATCCCCTACCCCTTACCCCTTACCCCTTACCCCTTACCCCTTACCCCCCCCATTTGTGACACAAATTAATCCCCGCGGAAGACAAAATAGACAAAAAATTAGAGTTTCAATTTCGTTCAAAAATAAAAATATGTCCGTTTTGACGAAATCGTTGTTACATGAGGAGAGAAAGAACACTCAAATCTTGAGTCACTTCAAAGATCAAAAGAGGTTTCGTCAAACAGGAAGCAGCCAGCAGATAGTCGTGCTGAGACGTCAACTGAAAGATAGACATCGCCAGGAAGCAGCAGTCTGCGGAGCATTTCAATTAGATTTAGGAGGAGCATACGGAAAATTTAGATCAAGGGGGTGAAAAGGAATCAGCAGGGGAGATCAGCCACAGGGAGGAGAGCAGAGAGCCTCACGTGAGGGGAGTGAAGGATGTACAAGGAAAAGTGACAAGTAAGCTTTTGTCGAGAAGTAGGATAGAAACAACAATCTTCCGGGAATCAGAAGTGAAATCGTCGATCGGTGAACGGCCAGCAGTCAGCCACATTGAACCATGAAATAGAAGGACGACCATCGACATTGTGCAGCGGTCACATAGAGAAGAAGGAAGAGATTTTGAAGAGAGGGTGAAGAGGGGGGGGGGAACAGGAGAAAAAAGCAGAGGCCCGTGATTATCCAGGGTGGTGAGGATTCTCCTACGGTTGCAAGGAAGAAAGGTGGTGACAATTCACAGGGAGAAGAGTCGCTCAACAATGTGTTACATGCACAGATATGTGATGTTTGTAATAACCGAGGAACTGCAATGTGACGAAAAGGACTGAAATGGACAATGCGGTGAGAGTAGAATCTCGACAGACAATGTGCATTCTCATACATACAAAA